AAAAGGCCTCCATCAAAGAAGGGAGATCCAGTTCAGCTTTCAAAGCTAGAAAATGACCAAGATCCCCTCTTGTAACGGAAGGATTGCAGTGAGACCAATAAACAGTAAAACATGCTACTGATAAAAGCGACGTAAGAAGTTTAATTATGCCGGCTTTCGGCCGATGGACAACACTGGTGCTCTGACTGCAGCCTTAGCGTTCAACCTCAAACTGGGAATTGGAAAAGCTATCAAGCGTTCTTTCTAATTTCAAAAGTGTGTGATGTTTTCGTAAGATTTTGGTACAGGTAAAAGATAATTATGCACCCAGCTTTTAAAAAAAATTCAAAATAGACGACGTTCACATTAATTCAGGGAAAAAGCCACCTGCTAACTTCACGAAGATTCTGATCAAGGAGGCACTGAGTCAAATGTTAAAGAGACAGTGCAGCTGTAAAGAATGAGACAAAAAGCAGATCCTCACAGAGAGAGATGTGTGTTTAAAAAGAAATTTAACCCTAACTCTAAACTACCAACAGCTAATTAGCAATAAGGAGAACCAAGCAGCATTAAATGTACATGTGCTTTTAGAGGTTAACAGCCACTCTACGTACAAACGTAGCCGGGTTTATTCATTGAAAGATTGCAATCGACAGCAAATGACGAAACTTTCTCTCTCAGTCCAGCATCGTTCAGAAAACTCGCATCCCCGATTTTGGGAATCCATCCAGGCGGACAGTTTCTAAAAGAAATTTTAAATGAAAAACTCATACTTTTAGAAGAAAGGCGTTACAATAGGTAAGGTGAATTAATAATGAATAAAAAATTGGTATCGAGGGAAAGAGCGAACGAAATGCTATTAATGAGCAAGCTAAGTATTTCAGTGATCTAGTTGTTAATTGTGATGTATCATCAATGTAAAGTATTTTTTCGATTTCAAACGGTTTAAAATCGGAATCGTGAGAGAACTAGAAAATAAAATACTTATTCATCGTAACATTACTCCTCATCATTACTCCCTCTGAAGATCATTCTTAAAACTCTTTATACTCAGGGCGTGTATGTGGCATTTGCTCGTGTTTCGCAGATGTTATGAAGTCTTTCATGGTTGATAAGAAGTTTTTTATTAGAACTTTAATGCAAATGTTGGCTTGAAACGTAGATGACAATAATTTAATTCCTCATAGTTTTTACATTATACACAAGTTAACACGATTGTTGAAAGTTTTTGCTAAATGACTGATTATCTACGTACGAGCAGATTGTTGGAAGAAACGTCATTAACAAGACGTTATAATGTGTCTGTATTTGAAGAATGTCCCTGATGCCGTGTAACACAAGCGGATCGCGTAAATGACATATTGGTCTTTCATTCAAACTAGTCTTCGCGCCATCACAGAAGACATACGGTAAAATTTTGCTATTATGAAGTGGTTTGATACCAATGTGCTGCATATACAGTCCAAAGCAAGCGTCTTCAACTGGTATGATAGGAACCTCCTGAGACGCAGCGAGAAGTCTGGGCAAGAGACTTGCACTGAACACATAACCTCCACCCGAGGCATAAGGCGGATACTTGTGTCTATTAATGTCCATTACGGACACATAGTAACGATTAGTTTTATCTCTCACAACCTCCATGTCCCTCTGAATATTACCCGCGTATAGCGGCCTTGATCCATTGGTCACGTGATATTCTTGTAGCCACTGAACAAGCGATAGGACATTCACGTAACAGTCATCGTCTGTCTTGAGGATATACTTAGGTTTGCAATGGTGTGAGGTCCACTGAAGACCTAATAAAGTCTTCAAGGACAAGTTACGGTATGTATCGAGGAAATCTCCGATGACAATGTCTTTGTAAACCTGAGCTTCTTGCCTCAGCAGATTGTTTAGCTTGGAACTATTCGTTTTCCCAACGAGGAAAACTGTCTTCCAAGATCTAAATGAAGGAGAAAAAGAGTCTTCCTTAAACGAAAGGGTCTCATTCCATAGAGTGTCAAACTTCTTTAGAGATTTATAAACGTACAATAAACGGCTTGAACCTGGATTAATATTTTATCACATTGTTTGGTTTTATCAACCGGTTTAAAACACTCATAATCCACAACTCCTCTATACGCTCAGACGAAGGCCTGACACTCGAAACGCTAGATTTAGAAACTCTTTACGGTGGCCAATGTACAATATGAACTCAGTTGATTAAACCAAATTATCTTGTAATACACCACGCCGACGCAGCACCACATGTTTCTTTCTGTAATCATACCAGCGATTGACAAATTCGCGGTCTTGCGATTTTGTTAATCACTCGTATGATTACAGACCGAATTGGACTCCACTCGGTCCTATTACCATTATATAACAACTTGACGACAACAAAAAGTTGTTACGTGTAAACAAACAAATCACAAAAAATTGTTGTTTCGTTAACCGAACAAGTAGCTAAGGTCAACACAATTAAGAAGGATTTCTTCTCTTGTTTTTTTTTTTTTTTTTTTGAGGCGTCGAGTTTGCTTACTCATCTTATGGCAAAGTTATGGGACATGATGTTTTTTAGTATTATGAAATCCAATTACCTTCTATTATTATCACAGCGTGAGGGAACAAGAAGTCAAGAGATCAAAAACTAGACGGCAAGAAGTCTTTAAAATGACAAAGTTTTCCCTAAAAATTTTTTTGGAACTCTTCTCGAAACCGTTGCCACCAAAGAAATGTAAATCGGGTCGTATATGAACATATGGGTAACATATGCAGGGCATAGCAACAAGGCATACATCTGCTTACGCAGGATGAATAACCGAATTCCGAAAGACACACGCTGACATTTAGCAAAAACCTTTCGTACACACATTCCATAAATTAGCCATTTGATGAGATTCTACGACGTAGCTGTGCTCACATGCTGACGTATTTATGGCTTTCATTCATCATTGTAGTCTTATGACTAGGCACATTCTAGGTTTTGTCAGATCTGAAATTTGCTTGTTGAAATTGTGGACTCATGAAATGATACTGGCTGCCACAGATATTTTTATGGGATGAAGGTTCTCGGTTGCGAGACAGGCCACGAGTCACGGAAAGTCTCATTACCGTTTATTTAGGGGAGACATCTCCCAAACACATAGTGGTAACTGACATTAACGAGCCTTCACGTGCATGAGCACTCGCAGTTGCGGTTGCGCAATTATTGATTTACACTTCTCAAGGAGAACATAAACGGAAAAAGGAGCGTAGAAAAAAAAGCGTTGCTCCCTGTACATTATAATTAAATCATGCTCACATTTTCTGAAAATCTTGTTACAAAGGGCGACATTCCTCTAGATCACGATAGCCACAATTGCAAAGCAAAAATTGAAGCAAAGTTGTTGTTTTTTATAACGTATTCATTCTCAATTCCCGAATAGGCAAGACCCCTTTGAGTCTTGAGTATTAGAGGGAAGATAGAAAATTCATTGCCCGATCACCTTATCCTAAAGAATGTCCCAGAGATGGAGGAAACCCTGTTTTTCTCTCCCCCATAAATAACTTTTTTCCACCCACGTCATGCCAGTTATAGTTCCGTGCCCACAAATTACGTGCCCACAGAATACGTGTGGCAGTAGTGGAATAGTTCGGAGTAACTGACTTCCTGAACAAAAACAAAGCAAATACAGTAAATACCTCTCAGGACTTGTCCAACTGCCCTGATTTACTGGATTATCTCCTCGACCCCACGATAACCGTATGGATTCTCTATCCATGAAGTTAACAGGATTTGAGTGAACCATGATTAAGAGAAAGGGAACCGGAAGGCAACGAGGCAGATAAAAGTGATTTACAAGTACTTGCTCTTCCTGCGGTTCCTCTTGCAGGTTGTTGAGTTCATACTGTTTAGCAATAGTTTGTGAAGATGCCAAGTATCTTTGAACCAGGTCTTTCAAATCCAAATTCAGCAGTTCCAGGTAACTTAAACTTGGTCCCGTGGCGGCTTTGATATCCGCGTCTACTTGAATGCTTGCTATCTGTCTTCGAAGGACACTTGACGAAGAACGTTGCATTGTGTAAAGCTCAAGAGTACCCCTCAGGTCGGCCAGGAACGTTAGGTAAACAAGATTCATGAACCCAGTGAGAGATGCCAGCAAAAGAAGATACCGGATCGTGCAATATTTGTTCATTTTGCGCCCCATTTGTGTCAAACTGACTGTGTATGAAAAGGGAGAAAATTTATCAATAAGTACGTGCACGAACTGGGTTTCATTTGTGTGAAGGCTGTTCTTTGGGCAAGTCTTGTTATAATTAGGTGGTATGTGATTCTCCAGTACAATAATCCAAGCAAGCAAGATGCAAGAGACACATTGATCAACTCGCTGGTAGAAAACTTGTTTAGAAAATAATTCTTTACATAATAGCTGCTTCTTGAAATGTTCAGAGAAGTGTTTTAAGTTAACTATGTTTTATCGGCTCAGTGTTGGCGTTTTGTACCATGTGGTGATATCATAAACTAATTTAACAGGCTGTAATGATGACGAAAAATTTCTTTCATTTACTGATGATGACAACGATCATTTTCTGGAGCCGGAACCCGGACCAAAGACATTTTCAAGTGCTCAGCATAAAAGTTGGTTGCTTGCCATAGAAGCTATACCACTAAAGGTGAAATATATAAATGTTCTTCAACCAGTATTGTTTTAAATATTCTATTGCACTGTAACGTACGTATTTGTAAAAAACAAAAAACGTAAGTAATGTAGCTATAGATGTAATTGTACTGTAAGTTATTTTCTGTATCCGTGATGTAAGTAACATAGCTGTAATTAAAGTAAAAAAAAAAAAAAAAAAAAAAAATGTTTAATGGAAGCAAGTCGTTAGCTGACCTGCTGAGAATGAAAACTATGGAGTGTTATTCCCCATGCATTAATTCCAAGCCGGCTGAGCCTCTCCACATGCAACTGAACAGAAATTTTTACAACAAATAACAAATGCGTGAGCTCTATTGTTGTAAACTCAAGAATCCATGTTAAAATGTGCAAATCAACAATTGAAAAGACAGAACCCTCAATTCAAGATAGAATAAACCACAGGAATGTATAGTCCGCGGTGAAAAAATGAAGATAAATCGGCTTAAAATATCAGCATAGTAGTGTTAAGCTTAAACAAAATACGACGAAAAGTATGAGTGATCACGGACGTAAAGGATGAAGTGTCGTCTGTTATTTTACTTGTTTTCCTTTTGCTTTTATATTCATCATGGGAAATGACCTTCACAAGAATAAGTGAGAGTCCAATTTGATCAATTGACACACACAGACAGAAACCTCAAATCGTTAAAGCCCTGAGGCGTTTTAAGGGAATCAGCGCTTGCTTTTAAACTGTCGTATATAATTTGCTTACAGATAGAGTTAATTAATTTAAAAAACATCAAGATTAAAACCTACTGTTGATGCCAGATCAAGTAAAACTTGTGCAGGAACGTTTGTGTTGTTCAGTCGTTGGCGTGTACCGGAGACTGACGATGAAGGTCGGGTCAAGTTCGATTTTGTGTAAAATTTCTGGGATTCGTAAATAATCTGTATGACTATCGGCAAAAGAATGAGAGGAAATGGCGTTGTCGGAAACCGTCCGGAAAAACACAATGTTAAACATTGTTTTTGATGGCGAGACACAGAATTAAGACAAAGGTGGCCAATTATCAAGCAACATGTTGTGGTTTTGTACACGATTACCAACAGAGCTTATTCGAATATCGTAAAAAACGCCTCAAGCTGACAGTTTCTTAATTTAAAGAGACTTTTCCCTATTTTTCGTACTTGAAACTGTCTGAGCCTTGACCTCCTCCAAAAAAGAGGAATTCCTAGACTTTTTCCTGGAAGTCAGTGATCAAATGAAGGAGAAAACAAATTAAGTAGTTTGATGTGCTGCCTTGGTGGACCACGTTCTAAATACGAGGAAGTGAGAAATTAACTGAGTTAATTCACACTATTCATTTTAAGGCACAACATGTACGAAACTAGAATTACTACCACATGAATGTTTGTTATGAACAATGCTTTTCAAAGAACTCGAGAATATTGATGTATTTTAGGCTTATGGAATTACATGTATGATGAAAACCTTGGCCTTAAGTCGGACAATTTCCTGTTTATTATAGCTGACGTAAGCAAGTCTCGTTAATCACGACAAGAGGCTTATTCTAAAGTCTATCGTTCAGTGTAAAAAGTGATAAAATGAAAAATTTTTTTGTCTCTGCTACAGCAGTAATTGCCTATAGTGCCGAATTTAGCTTAGAACCACCTTATCACAATTTTTTAAATCCAGTTTCTGTCACTGCATTGAGTGGCGCTCGGAAATGTAACCTTTCCCAGAGGGCGTGATATGGATTTTTTGATGACTAACAGGGGAAGAATTTGTGTTATGAGACGATTTTAAATGCCTTGTTGTCAAATATTTTTACAACTGAAAACCAAACAGGACACATTTACCTTGATATGATGTCTTAGAAAGAACGAGAATTTCCTCATATGTCGGTAACTCCTTGTGTTCTTGGACATAATAATGTATTACGTATTTTCTTTATCGACCGGACGACGTTTTCAATGCCTTTCAAGAGTGTTCGAGGAGATAACTGCGATCACAAAAAGTGCAAGTTTACCCTTTTTCCCGGAAACTGTTAAGTATTAAAATAGTCATAGATATCAGGACCTAGCTCAAAATAACCGTTATCAGTCCATGTGTGCACGCTATTACGACTGGTTATAGTAAGCATGCGGCGACTTGAGTGAGTCTTACCTAAAGTCGCCGCTCGACATATGCGTGGACTTTGAGATACTGTCACATGACGTCTGGACTCTGGAACTCTATAATAAGGAATAGTAGTGGATCATCTGATCTTAACAGGCTCGGAAGAAACTCATACATCGGCTATCCGAGAGCGAAAATAGGCCCGTTTTAATCTGTCTTCAAGAGTACCAATCCGGCTTTGTAAACAGTGTGAAGAAATATTTGATTCGCAAGAGCACTGAAAATTCTGGGTTAAAAAAAGTGAGAACACCACACGGCTATCTATTGATCTTTTAAGGGCTTCATGTTCACCTTACAAAATATTAAATGAAAATAACTGCAGTCAGAAATACTGATAGTAATCGGCTGCAAGATGCATATATCGGTTTTCACCTCGATCCTACTTAGCTTCGAATATTCATTTGACAATTCTGAGTTGTATCTTTGGAAATATCGTGGCTGTGGTCCTTATGGTGGAATTTTTAAAATCAGGAAACTAGATTGACAACAACAATATTTGAACTGTGCGAGCATGAGTGGGCTGAGGAAAATGAACAGGGCCAATGGGTTAATTATTGGGGAGTGAAACAGTTTAAAAGATCACAGCTATTTTAAAACTTGTGTCAGTGAAGATTTTTTCTTATATCTACAGGACCCCTACAGGCCTCAACCTTCATGTCGTAGAGAAAGGAGCAGTAACGATTCATTTTGTGAACATTTATCTGTTGTGAATATAAAAATTGCCTTTCTTTTTAGAAATCTAACCTGAAGAACATTGGCTCAAGATCTTTTGTCGTATTAAACCAGTTGCGGTTCCTTGAACGTCAACTGCATTCCTTAACACTCTTAAATATTCCCGAGAGTCGTCAAATGCAGATTTTGCAAAAAAAAAAAATTGTGGACAAAATTATTGCTGATCATTCTGTTGGCTTTTGAGTACGGTCAATTGACTACTTAAGCGGGCAATTTGGCCAAAAAAATGCCTCATGCTGTTTAAACAATTTAGATGCGACACGAATTAAAAAGTCATGTTTACGGTGAAAACTATGCGTCATAACATCGCTTTGTGAAGAGAACATAATTTTTTGTGGTTAACTTCTTATTGTTATCTCATGTTGTTATATTGGCAAAACATGGTTAAGTGAACATGTTTCGTGCTGAGAGCTGTTAGGTGCACACATATAACCGCACTAACATTAGCAGAACTCATGAGTGTCTGGCTGGCTTTCAATGATTTAGTGAATCTAAAAACAGCTTTTTATCAGCTGTCAGTAAGGTTCTAAAAAATTGTTAGGGTGCCGAAAAACTCCGAAAGAGAAGGTCAGTCGAGGATTCTTGTTTATGCTCCACACCTGAAGAAACTTGACACAGCAGCTGGTACTGAACGAACCGTAAACAAAGACAATGTTTGAAAACCCACCACCGAAGGGAAAATCGACGATTATTTCGTAAACAAAAGATCCAACTTGATTAAAGGTGCTGGCCGTTTCGGAACTAATGGAAACTGCCTTTTCAAGCCCGAGAAAAAACTCAAAATGTGTCTTGATCAGTTTCTTTTTTGACAAATTTTTGATGCAGCAATAAAATACCTATCACTGGACAACGAAACATGTGCACCTACATTACAACTTGGAAAAAGTGTGAATAACTCTTTTAGTATAAATAAACGAGTTTCTGTTCAAGAAATGTATTACTCTTTCCACCATAACCTGTGATAAATTAGTTAGGGATGACATTAATTATAACATATGAACAAGGAAATTAATAAGTGACGCGACAAATGTTGTAAACACTGTGAAACTTTCTGCGCATAAATATTGCGTGGGAAAAACAGGGATAAATGCCCTTAAGCCATACTTTCACTTTTCTTTATACAATAAGTGCATCGATGAAAAGCTTCATTTGCATGTATAAGTTGGTTGCCTCTCTTTAGTGTACGGTGTAGAACTTCCTTACATGTCGCTTTCACTTCATTTTCTTTTCAAAGCTACCTGAAATTTTTGACCCTGAACAGATAATTTTATTAGCTGATATCGTATTATTTCATAGATAAGAAGCTCAAAACCTCCCTTCCGGAAGCATGCATATTTTCATTATATTTCAGATCAGAGAAAGACTTGCGTTACGGATGATGTTAGACCTGACAAAGGATTGTGGCTCTCATGTATTCGAAGAGTGAAATCAGTGCTCTCTCAATTCGTATTGGCCACAAAGAGAGAGATTCCTTGAATTCAATTTGAAAACGAAAATTCCCAATAGTAAGATGAGTAAAACAACTAACCAAAGATTCTCATAACAATTTAGCACCTGTGCTTCAGCCAACAACAGTCATTTTTAGCAAGGTTCGGAACCCAATACAATGTCTAAAACATCGAAAACATCTCACTATATTGAGACAGTTTTGCTTCATTTTTCTCGAAGGAATCGACTATCGGCGAATGCATGTACTAGACAGCTAAATGGGAGACTGTGTTCAGCACAGAATAAATGGTTTCAAACTTACGTTTTGCTTTTTCGTGAAATCGAAAGTTAACTATCAACCCATAACAAGAGAGCTTAACTGAAAAAGGTTATGGAACACAGATTAAAAACATAGATATCGCAATATTGCATACTATACTAACCAGCTATTTTTAGTGGTGCATCTAATAGCAGAATAAATTGAATCCTCGCAGACATATATATTCAAAAGCATTAAGACGCAGCAGAAACCTTCTGAAGCCTGAAATTAATCCGCTGGTCCACAAAAACGCACGTGTCCGGAAAACAAACAGTATTCACACATCTGCAAAACCACGTGGTTAGCTAATCGTCACAGGTGTGTTAATGTCTGAGAAACGTGGAGTTCTATGTCAAGGTTACCCATTACTGTTCTTGTTGTCATTCATATGGCCATGCCTCACGGATCACCTTTGTTTAACCTGGTAGTGATTAAACCATTATTGATCGCGCGTTTGAAGGTTTTTTGCCCTGGAAGTGGGCATGATTGTTCGTGACACAAAGGCGCTTCTGCATTATATAGATCAACTCTTAGAAGTCTATTAAGAATGCGGTTCCCAAGTGATAAACATACTTGGTCGGAAATTAATGCAAGTACTATTTGAATTCGGGCCAGTCAAAGAAAAAATTGTCATTCACTGAGCACATAGTACTTAGTAACAGTAAAATTTGCAACTGCAGACTATTATATCACCAGTGTCACAGTCTCTTGATTGTACTGAAGGACTTGTACAGATCCTTGCAGTATTTTATAAAACCAACATGAATTACAACACGTGTATCCAATATTTTCCTTTAAACCACGGCCTTGAGAAGCAAAACCCATTGAATCGGATTTTGTGCGGTTTCCTTTGCTCAGTACATGGTGCTTAACTGAGGATTGGAGATTATCCATTACTATAAATTCAGTATCAAGTAGCGCCATAATTTGGTTATCACCAATTAAATGTGCAGACACCGAGCGAAGACATTTACACGATATGTTGGGATAATTTCCGTTAGTTTTCGGTAAGCGACCGCTTAAATCTCTTTGAAGACAGGTTACAATGAAGATATCAACCAGCTGGTTTTCCTTCTGTACTCCATACGATAATTATGGACCAAAGTTACATTAATATAAAACTTACTGGAAATTAAAAAGTTTACCTGTTATCATGTCAAAACACTCCACCAGACTTGAACCGACCAGTCTAGAAATTCAGACTCTGTCGAAGTATGTCTGCTCCGGCTCTAACAACATCGACGTTTTGCTTATTAGTCATCGATTAGAAAGCTAAGTACCGCCATTAGTGTTAAGTGCAACTTGCTACAGGCAGGTTGTAGACTTGCTCTGAGGGACGCACTTATTATGGGCATGTACATTGCGTGAACTCTCCATGAGTTCATCGTCCTTGCAGTCAATTTAGGGTGAAGATCGTGTTGCATATATACTTAGGAATTCAAAGTGGGCGAAAATAAGTATGGCCTAATCGGACCTGCCTAAACATGTCTTTTATTTTGAAAATAAGCAAACAGTTAATAGGCTTTTAGGAAATACCTAAAGAACGTGTTGAACAAAGACAGTTCCATAGTTGTGATAAATTTCGCCGCAAATTTCCATAACAATTGGTCATAACGCTTGTCGTGACAGAGCACAATCGACACAAAGCCGGCAAACGCTGATAAACAAGATAACAGTCAACAAGAACACTCTTCTATCGCTGACAACCGTTCTTATCACTATCCAGCTCTTACGAAGAATTTTATGCTGCCGAATACAACATCGTCAAGTGTCGAGATTAGGAGAAATTTTACAATAACAATATGGCACTTCAATGTGCATTCATAATGACTCTTAACTAATTTGCGTGATCAATATTTTACTGCTAACGATATGAAGACTGTGGCTGCTAAATAGCGAGCCACTTCAAAATAGGTCAAACTATTGGTCATTAGCAGAATTCGAAATATTCTGGACCAAGAACTTCGAGAATGTGCCAACTCTTTAAAGCAATGAAATCTTGCTCAACTTTTGTTTGCATATGAGGTAATTTCCCAACTGTTTAAAATATCTTTAATTCCTCAGCATTATGTTATTTCCAAACAGTCTCTGAGAAGATGCGTGTGAATACAGGCATGACTGCGTGGGAAGATGGCTCTATGTCACTGACTCGGAGATCAATAACATTTTTCCATTCGGCCAACAAAAAAAACCTATGGAACAGGCCCAAACAAGTTTATTATTCTTTTAATCAGACAGTCATTTTATGAAACGATTACATGAAATCGGACAACGTTGTCGATAAATGAAATCACAGAATCTTTGTGCGTCACCGATAAGATGTATTAAATAAAACGGAAAGTACTTTGCAAGTTAAACATGGACATTTGTCTCTAATGCCACAATCTTTGATTCGCACAAGGATTTAATTAACCACGACAAGAACACGTAAACAAGACGCAATTGAAACAACGCCGCTGTGAAGCTCGAAAGTCCTTCACTAATTTGGATTTATTTAGGGTTGATGACCGTGTTCTGAACTCCTGAAGATTTAGAAAGTAATAAGATTTCGCTTATTCGCTGCAGCTTTGTGCTAGAACAGCTCTTAATTAATACACCGGCTTAGATAAGACACCTCCAAAATGTATTGATTGAACTTAAGAGCGAAAATTCTGGATCTTGATTGTTAATTGAAATAGCAATGACGAAAAGGTAGAAAAACAGATTTGCTGTGGTTTTGGTTTGCGCGTAGTGGTAAAAATCCAATTTAAACTCTGCAGAGGTATTTAAATCACCAATGCGGAAAGCACAAAGTTACGTAGATTAATGTCTGAGCCTTTAATCTACTGCTTTTAATTGACATTCCCTTGTGCAATGTATTGTGACTGAATTGTTTTTGAAGGAAAATGAAAATGAGCTAGTTCAATTTGTCAAAGGTGAAAGCGTTTTAATCCCACCCGCGTCGTGCAACCGCTATCGCACATTATAAGACTTTCTAATAATCTGAACACTTCATTTCATGACGGAGTTATCTTCTTCCTTTGCCTTTTCGTAATCAGGCTTAGAATATGGACACTCTATATTATTTCTTAATAGATTTCATTTCGGGGGATTGTCGATTGATGGCGGAGAGTAGAAGAGCTGAAGTACGAACGATCAGTTTTGAGTACACGCAGATAGGTAGTTCAATAATTTGCTGATCAAAGACAAACGGATTAAAGTTATTTAAATCGTTTCCATTAGAAACAGACAGGTAATAAAATAAACAAGTAAACGAACGAACGAAGATGGAACGTACTGATTAAAAAAATATGTCAGAACAAACATTCATACAAAGAAAGAAAGTAACAAACAAACAAAATATCAATACAAAAAAACGAACAAAACTACAACAAACAATTTCTTTTTTAGGGAAAAGCGCCGTATTTCTCATACCATATAATCGTAATGTCATCGAATAAATGTGCTTTTTTTTGTTGTTGGGATGGTGCGGAAAGAAAGGGGGTAGTTAAATGGATTAGGACCTTAAAACTAGCTACGTGAAAAGCCAAACGTACACAGAAAATCTATACAGACAGTTAAAGAAAGATATTTATCAATTTGTGATGATCGAGGAGAAAATGACAATAGTTCTTCCTCAACACGAACGCGAACCTCAGAGCATCGAAAGTCATTGTCTGATGCTATGTCACGCCTAAGCTACAGAGAAGGTTTGGGTAAGCAAGGCCGTGTACGAAGTTAATTGTGTGGTTTTTGTCCTGCGCACTGCTAGGATCAGCCTGACTTTGGAAAACGTTCTGTGAGAGAGTTAACGGAGAAAGAACTTTTATCCAACGAACGTTTTTTAAAATTCACCATCTTTTTATATCCACTGATAGACAAGTGATGGATAAGTTTGTATATCCGATGAAAGTTTCAGGAGCACTTCCTGGGGAGCCTGAACCAAAAAAGTTGGCATACGAACCGATGGGCACGAGTTTCGTTGACGATTTACAACATTTTGACCATATCGTTAGTCTTTAGAGGAATAATAAAAGCATAGAGACCAACCAAAAAAAAAAAAATAAACGAACAAACAAAAAAAGACAATTTACATATTTTATATAATCATGCATCTTTTGAATCAAGGAAATTGAAATTTGGGATGAGCTGTTGGAATTTGTCTTTAGAAAATGTCTTCCATTCATAATTTTACTGAAAGCAGAGAAAACCTTGCATTCTGTGTTGCACTCAGGAAAGTGATATATTACACTCTAATAAATTAATGTAGTTTTCACTTCTGCTTAATTAGTGTCCATTAGTTCACTTATACGATTTTCATATATTTACAATCATTTCTGGAACAAAATAATCAAAATGGAAGTTGAGTCAGGGCAGGGCTATCAAAAAGACAAAATGGACGCGCAGAAGCGTTAAGGTGTGTTTAATGAATTTCTCAGAGTACATGCAAGTATCAAATATGGCATCATTTACTGTATGTAAGCTTCTCAGTAAGTTTCCGTCTGGTTATGCTGAATATTCTCCATAAAGAGGACAGTCACTCTCTAGAGAAAAAAAAAGATTAAAATTGTCAAAATTCGTGAGCCACTGTAATTTTTGTGGCCTCTTTAGAAGAAAATATTTTTGTATGAAAGAATGCTATGAAAAAGTACGGTAACAACTTACTCGTCCATTTTCAAAACAATGTATGATTTCACTTCCATTCAATACGGTTTTCTTCACTTTTGTTAATTTAAGTTGTCTTTCACTTTTGTTTACTAAAGTTGTCTTTCACTTTCGTTTGCCGAAGTTCCCTAAAAGCTGTTGTAATTCATGCATGTATGGCATTTTATGATGCCTTAAACATAGGCGTTGACATGGCACTTAATTATTCTAATTTAGTCTTAAAGTCGGGTCTTTCTAAATCCACAATTTATTTTGACTTGAAACCTCATGTTTATGAAAGGCTATGTAAAAGCGGAAAGGTTATCTTCTGCTAATTATAAGAATGCATAATTCTGTTTGGTACAGTATCCTCTCTTCATGAAATTTGAATATAGTTAACACAACAGGTTGAACAAAAGTAGCAAAACATCCCATAATCATAGTTTTGTACACGTGTAGTTGAGACCCCGTTCTCTACACAGGAATCACGGTCAATCCGATGTGATATGGCTATTCTCGCGTCGACCTTTTCCTTTACATGACTTCCATGGAGGAGTTACAAAAAAGAGCTTTGGTATTTGCATTTGACACACAGTATATCATATTACTCCTAATATGGTCGCTGCCCCACTCAATCCTAACCCTGAGTAATGCACAGTTATATCACTTTGTTATAGTGCAAAACAGATGGAACTGCCATGCGAGGTTGGTAAGTCAGATAGAGTAAATGAAGAAAGAGCCTTTAAACTAATTCCAGAGAAAAAGCCAAGCAAGTGGGCAAAATTCTTATCAATAGACCCCAAAGTTATCTAAACATACCTACCACGGAATCCGGATCAGCAATACATGCAAGTTTTCTTGCGTTCTCTCATTAGTGTCCGAACATGGATGATGTGGAAGCATTTTTCCACATTGCTCTGCAATACCTTGGTCTGAGATCTCTACATTCTACGGAATTACATAAGAAACTCGATGAGGTATCATGTTATTTGAATGAGTAAATAACTCGTTGTAAAATTGACTTTTTTTAGATACTTGACAAAATGTTTTGTTCTTAGCTCTTTACGTTCTTTCTCGAAATTCAAGCTTTAAGATATATATTCAACATCTTCATTTCTAGAGTATTTTAAATAACAATAAGTCTTAGTCAACATATTATAAAATCTCCTGGCCTAGTTCATATTATACAATCGTCTTTCCAAAATGCTCAATTCCAAGAAAAAATGCGATCATTTTCTAAACCATTATAAGGTGTTTCGAGATTTTTCACACAGAGGGTAAAAAATAGGTGGCTCCTGGCCGGTGACAAAATTGATTTTATCTGGGACATAATAGGCAAAAAGGCACTCGTAATATTTTCAAATGTTTTCAAATTTACTCTGTATCGACTCACTCGATTGCAAACACGTTGAATGCGTCAATCAACATGCGCTTCGTAAAATATACTCGTGTTTATGCAGTCATTTTCTTATGGTTGTTCGTCTCGTTGTACCATTAGAAATCACGTGATAATTTTCACTTAAAATTGGTCATGGCCACGACTGAATTTACTTTCATTACCATTGGAAAAAGGACATTGTATGTTCCTCGAATAGGGTCTATTTTACAATAGCTATGATTTTGCTTGTATGTTCTCGACATTGTCAGAATCAAGATACGGTAAATTAGATTGCATTAGTTTTAATTGTTCTTACTTGAGTCATCTAATGTTTCTTCTAATTGTACTTCTGAAGGTAAAAGGGAAAGCAGGACTTTTGTCAAATACACGAACCACAAGGTATTAAAACAATAGGCATAAATTGTAAGAGCAGGCGCAAAAGAAATAAAGCTACTTTGTGTTTATTTAAAAGGTGCGGTAG